TCAGAGCCACTGTGGGCTCCGCACTCACAGGTCTGGCAGTCCCGTGGGCCCTCACCCCAGCAGTGCCCCTCAGAGCACAGCGCCCGGCAGTCGGGACCTGCGAGGGGGGGAATCGTGAGGGGGGGGGGGTTGGAAGCCCCCAGACCCCCTCCCTGGGTCCCACAGCCCCCTCCTCCCTGCCCCTGGGGGCTCTCACAGCTGCGGCTGCGGGTGCTCTCCACGCGGATCTCGCCCCGGAACTCGTTGTGCCGGTGCAGGATGTCGCTCCACAGGATGGTCTCCTGGAAGCACAGCTGGGGGTTCCTCTCGATGTGCACCCCTCCCTTCAGGATCTCTGGAGGGGGGGAAAGGTGCAGGGGGGTCAGGGTGGGGATAGGGGGGTGTCCTGCAGCCCCATGGGGAGTCCCAGACCTGGGCAGGGACCTGGGAGCACCCAATCCTGGATGGGGACACCCAGTCCTGGATGAGGACCTGCCACCCCACAAGGACCACCCATCCCCAGGCAGGACCCTGCAGCTCCCAGCGCCAGGAGCAGCACCGCACATCCCTGAGCCCCCCATGCCCGCCCCGGGGGGGGTTCCCCACCTGTGAGGTGCCTCATGCCGAGCTGGAGCAGCCCCGGGGTGCCGGCGGGGCCGGCGTTGCCCACCACGGCCAGGGCGTAGCGGTCCTGGAAGAGCTGCGTCCCGCGGATGATGCGCAGGCTCTGCAGCTCCAGCCCCCTCACCTGGTTCTCCGCGATCAGCACGTACCCCTGCACCTCCTTGATGTCCTGGGGTGAGGGGACACGGGTGAGGGGCTGCTCAGACCACCATCCTTCCACCCCCTTCCCGCCCTCCTCGCGGTGTTTTCCCGCTGCGCACCTTGAGGAAGGCGGTGTCGGCGTCGGGGGGCAGGTAGGTGAGCTCCAGGTTGCCCTGGACCACCTGGCAGCCCTGGTAGAGGTGCCGCAGGGTCTCGTAGTGGCTCTCGGGGCTGGAGGGTCGCAGCAGCTTCATGTCGGTGCCGGTGCAGACTGGGGGGGGGGGGGACAGCGGGAACTCAGCAGGACCCCGAGCCCGACTCTTCCGAGCCCGACTCACCCCCGCCCCCGCGGGATCCCGAGCCCCGGCCCCCGCAGGAAGCGCCGCGGATCCGGCGGCCGCCGTTTATCTCCGGGGCTGCTCCCAACAGCTTCCGATGGGCTTCCTGGATCGTGGCTCCCCCCGGGGCTCCCACCCCGGCACGCGGCGGAGCTGCTCCCGCCCTGGCACCGGCCCCGCTCGAGGGACAGCGGGGTCCCCGCCTCGCCCCGTGCCCGCGGTGGGCGCCGGGGGCTGCACGGGGCTGGGTTTGGGGACCCCCATCCCCGCGGTGCCGAGCCGGGGGCCGCAGCGGGGGCCGCGGGCAGGAATGTTCTGCCCACGCGGGCGGGGGGGCCACGCCGAGACAAGACCCGATTGTTGAGC